AACAAAAAAGATACAGCGAAATTAATTTTACCATTTTTGAGATTTGCGCTTACCAACAGCTAGAGCGATTCAATTTTATATTTTATACTTAGGTACACTCGTATACTTACATTCATTAAAGAAAAAGCAAGATATCAATTGGGTAAGCGATGTGGTATATAGGTTACTTACATGACAAATTTATAGGAAAGCGTCCACACAGAATATCTTGAGTAATAACACTCGTAAACTAAATAAACCACTAAAGCATGGTTCGACTATTCCAATACATATGTCATTAGTAAGCAAATACACATACCACACCTACAAGCGTACACTTCCTTCTAATAAACGTAATCCTTAAAGTAATTTCGTGTGATTAATTCGTAATTTGCCGAGAGCAATTAAATTGTGTAATGTTAAGGTACCTACCTAATCTTCGTAATCGATTTCGTATCAAGCTTGAGAATTGCTATTGGTGTAGTAACTTATTGGTAGTTGTACGTTGTCAATTTTGTAAAAATAATAGATATGTTTATATGAACATTTATATTGATATGGTCGTTTTGGTTTAAGCGCTAAAAAGAATAGATATGTTTGTTTATATGAGCATTTATATTCATTTGATCGTAATGGCCCGGTGGTTTAAGCGCTCAATTCTCTTGCATGGAGACGCTGACTTGAAAACTGTCAAGTACCAATGTTGTTTTTCCTAAACTGAAGAACACCTAAAATTACAGGTACTTGTACATTAGTTGTTGCCAGGTTTAGAACCTGCACCAAACAACAAGCACGAAAAGTGAGAGCTTAAACTCCGAGCCACCACGACTCATATTGTCATATGGGATATAGAAAGATTATTGCGCAGCCACTTTTTTTTTTAAAGTCAATTATCAAGTCACTTTTCCCGCAGTTGGTGGGGCGAGAGGAAGTAACAGATACTTAGTCACAAAAAGTACCACCCTGATTCTACTCCTGGTCCGAAACGGCTCATGGTATCTCATTGCGCTTGATCAACCTTTCAAAATTTAGCTATCACTCATCACCTGTCACCAATCTTAAGCAAGTGTTAATGTTCATATTTACCTTCTCCGTGTAAAAAGAGGTCTTCTCTGCAGTTTGCATAACTGTATGCTGTTGATGGAAAAAAAAATATACACATTACATTTTGAAATATCGCTCAACCTGGTACGTAAAAACAATGGGGTATACATAAACAACAAAATTTTGTAATCCTAAAACTTGAAACTTTGAATGAACCAATATGATGACTCAGAATATGTATAACACATAGTAGTTTTTTACTGGATGTAGGGTTTAACTGAAGGTGAAGTCGCTGGCAGAAACTAGTATAACAATATTCCTTTTACTTATTTCTCAAACGGCCGTGTTTTCGAATTTCTTACTCTGAAATGAAGAAAGTTATTTGTAAAGATTAAATTCAGATAAAGGTTAAGATGGATTCGGTTCAGTACACTCCTTGAGTATTCATAAAATACGAATAAGTGACGTCGAAATTTAATTAAGGCGTAATCTGGGTTTGTTGTTACTTGTAATTGAAGATAAGCTAAAACAATTTACGTAAAATCAAATTAAGTAAAATAGAGTCTCCCTTTAAACTGGTTTAGTTACATTCTTGATACAATTATATGCGTAGAAAATATTTCAAAAATGTTTTTGACGAAAAAGAATTTGTTTACATTTTGAATGTTGGAATCTCGAATATTGTGTTTCGTTTTTTGTTCGTATCTGAGCTTTACATATACATACAATACATAAATGTATATACACATATTTTTTATTGGTTATTAACTTTTTGGAATCTACGTTTTGGAACGAACACCTCGTTTCACTGACGAACACTCCCGTTTTGAAGTTCATAAAGTGCATGTATATGGTTTTATTGAACTAAATACTAAGATTTTGCCTCTCGGATCCTGGATGTAGTTAAAAAAGTTATGCAATTTGGGATTTATGTGAAAAAAGTGTTAAAAGAATATTTCCACTCGGGTGAAGCCACGGAAACTAGTCACTTATACAGCGAAACAAAACGTAAGCATCGTTTCATGGCGGTTTTCTTCGAAGTTATGGTATAAAACTGTTCGAGTTGGCTCCTTAGTGTCTAAGCTTATGGTATTTTTACACGGCTGATAATAATATAAACACATTAACGATATCAAAAGGATAGTTCTAAAACAACTTCAACAGAAACTATAAAGTATAATAAAAATATTACCTAATTACAAATAATCTTCCAAAATGCCACGGCTCACTTGACCAAGAGGCCGGCTTTAGGCGCTTAGACCAATAGCCTAACGAGTCGACTACCAACTAATTGTAATTGCTTTTGTGTATCAATATTCTATAGCTGTATTGTAGCCAAACTTTTATCTATTTCATATTTTTGATCATAAATTTTGATGATAAGCATTGAAAAGAATCAATTTCGTTTATGCCTTTGGGTTGTATAACAGAACCTTACTTCTTCGTTATATTCAGATTGAGTTTATTATAATTATTACGAATTAATATGAAATTATTTTCACACATACGTGACGTCTACTTTCATTATATTATATCATAAGTCTCATACCTAATAAAACTTATTCATTTTTAAACTTTAGATATACAATCTAGAATTTATTATTAGTGTTTCAACGTACTTGCTTTATAGAACGTACTGTTTTTTCTATCTACTACACTTGAAGAACAACTGGTAATAACTGTTTCAGACTAGACATTTGTTTTATAGTTTTTTCATTATAATTTTCATATTTTTTATTAATCAAAGGAAGATGTTTATTGAATAATCACGAAAACATATCACTTTTCGAAGACAAAAATCATTTTTAAACATACAAACATTGATATATTGTAATCGCAATCATATCCTTACACGTGTCAAAAATATTATGGCCTCTTTCGCTAATACGAATAAAATTAATTTCAAGATTCTTGGAAATTAAAACTGTAACTAATTACCTCGAACTTGTACCGGGCAATCACGATATAAGTAATTTTATATGGAAATTGTCTTGAGATATTAAGATTAGGAACAATATTGGTACAAAATTTTATGTACATTTTATTCGTGGTTTGGTAGAACTAAAATTCAGTATGGATTTGGTTGTTATCGTAAGGTATATCATGGTGGCTAAGAGTTTACGTAAGTCGTTTCTCATGTATGAGGGTGTGATTTCGAAACATGGCAACTCCTTACATGACTGGATGTACTTTCTAAAATAATTTAGATACCACAGACAATCAGCGAAGGAAAACATCGTGAGGAAACCTGGAAATAATATTTTTTAATTTCAAGTTTGAAATAACCAATCCGCCTCGTACAAGCGTGGTGATTAACGCTCAAACCTTTTTGGTGTGAGAGGTGGCCTTTCTGCAGTGGATTTTACAGGCTGATGTTGTGATAGGTGCAACCAGAGTGATGGATAGGCTTATTATTGTCTGAATTCAAAGTATTCAGTTACAGTATTTTGTATATACTGTTAGTAGTATGTGGAGATTGTAGTAACAACAGATGAAACAGAGAATTTGGTACGACTTTTATTGAAACTGGTATAGGCAGATATTTTGCTTTCCACGAACGGCAAATTGACGCGATGGTTGATAGATGATAAATGACAGTCGTTTCGAATGTAAAAACTGACAGTCAACCAAATCTAGTTCAGTCACAGTGCCAACTTTTGTTTAATCTAAAAAAGGAGAAAGATGTCATTTTTTGTATTTCTATAGGTATTTCTATAGCAAAATGTTTTGTATACTTTACATTTACCATTACTAGCTTCTGGTAGTAGTTTCGGCCGTTCTGGGGAAAAAGTAGCTTTATGTTATTTCAAACTAAAATCTATCTCTATGCCAAATTTGATACAAATCCGTACAGTTACTTTGGCTTTCACGGTTATAATATGACACTTGTCCGTTTTATCCACGGTTTTATCTGACAAGTACTCTAATATTACTATTCAAAATGTTTTCAAATTGTTTAATAAAACGAAAGGATGAAATTGTAATATAAACTTTAAACAGTTGCTCAACGTTGTTATAATGCATACTTTGCCTTGACGTAAAATTCAGCTAACAGAAATTGGATACGCGTTGGCGAACGAGCAAGCTGACACCGCGTCATTGTTGAAAACTTTAAACCATGCTGCATACATGTTATTGTTTGTTACATTTTGTCTAGTCAGCGTTTTGTTTTATCCAATACCTACTGTGGTCATGGCAATCATTAACCCGTTGAATGTCGGTTTATAAGACACAATAGAACATACATTGTGTCTCGCGTGGATCCACGTTTAAGGCATACGAAAGGTTAATAACTAATTGTTTCCTGGGACTCTCAACATAGCCATGATACACTATTATTTTCTTTTTATTGTGCTAAATACCTACTGAAATATCTAAGTATCTTTAGATTTTTAATACTTCTTCTCTCATAACTGTGCCCGACTGACGAACCTGTAGAGTGGCTAACAGTGGTTGGACGATGAGAACTAAATACCGCGCTCAGTGGCATGCGATTGGAGAGGCCTGTTTTCAGTGTTGGACTGAATGAAATTGGACTGAAGGCTGATAATGATGATGTCCCAACAGGGTCCATAATTGTTTCTAATTTTACCTATTAGCGTTTGTATACTTACGAGATTTATTTTTGGTCGGAGAAAAATCATCACATGACTTCTCCCACCCAGTGTGAGTCGAGAGGAAGTGTCAGACTCTTAGTGACCAAAACCCCTCATCCCTGCTTTAGGCCGAGGACATGGTGCTTCATTGCGCTTGCCCCGCAACCCTGGCTGAATATCAACCCTATAAGGCCCTGTCTGTGGTGGTCAATTGGCTCTTTGAGAAGTGCGCCGAACGCTACGCGCCGTACGCTCGGGCAACTTTATGGAATGCGATAAAGTTATTGCACAAATACTATATTTTTTAATGGAAGCGAGGTTTTGTACATATATAAGTTAAGGATTTTCTTTCAATATATTTAAAAAATATTTCTTTTACAGGTTACGAAGGTGGACTCCAATGCATCTACATAGTTGAAGTATGGGCTGCTGAAGGTTTAGTAGTCAACGCGAGCAATGGAGGTGCGCTGTGGAACCTAAGAAGACTTGGAGCTAACAGACAGTTGAGGGTGGTGGTGTACGCAGCTAATGCACGTGGAAGGTCCGAACATGTCACTTTTCCTGTGGAAACTGCTGTAAGATTGGCCCCGAGGACTGGTAAGTAGCAAGTTTGCCGTAACTTTGGATAGAATATTTCTTTTAAAATACAGATACTATCTGTAAACGATAAAGAAAAACATAGTGAGATAGCCTTTTTTGGTATGGAGAACATTTTTTATTACTTCTCCTGCCTCGGGTGGAACGAGAGGGATTATCAGACACTTACTGACTAAAACCCACCCTATTAGTTCTCCTACTCCAGGCCGTGTTCTCCATAGACTGTTACGTTTTTAAAAGCAAACAACATAGAGCTTGTGATTGATGAAGTGTTTACGATATTGAAGATTGATCTTGGCAAAATAAGTTTTACCATGGCGAATTTGTAGAATGTATAAATGCAATTCATATTAATTTTTGGCCAACCAGCAACAATTTTTGTGTTATTAAGAACATTTACCATATGCTTTTCTTTGTCTTAGAACCGCAAGAAGCATGGGAAGTGAATTGGGCTGTCGGCGTGTTTCTCGGCGCTGCGTTGACCATCGCTTTTGTTCTGTGCCTCGCTCTCATTGCAACGAAGCTACGACAAAGATCACGGGATTATGAAGGTTTGTAAAGTTTTCAATCACTCTTAAAACGTTTTTCTGTACTCATCAATTTGACTATTTAGGATTTTGTTCCTCTATAAATCACTCAACTTTGGTAACTGTATTTTGTAGGCTGATGATGATGATGATTATTATTATTTGTTTGTTCTTTCCTTTCACGGGACCACAGGGTCCCGGACCTTTGGAAGGCGTACGAGGAGCCGAAGCCAACTCGCAGAGGCCCGTTGAACCGTTTTAATCTAAATGTGATGGGACATCAGCCGGCAATTATCCCTGTATGCACTATAAAAGTGCATCCAAGGACAATCCCCGGTTGATGCAGAGGACTATTGTGAAATGTGGTAAAAATTGATAGGGTTATAGGTATGGGTTGCTATGGACTGGTGGATATGATAACTATGGAAATACTATGGCCCCTGCCCCTGACCAATATTGATACATACGGATAAACAGGCAGGGGGTGACTGGCAAACTCAATTAATGGGCCCCCGGAAACGGCCGCTAGCATGTAGCGACACGGGGGCAACATACGTTGAGCTGCTTGGGGAAGGAGAGGCATCCCACGGCTATCAGAGCAATCCCGGAAGTACGGTCAAGACCCCTACCAGCACCTTACAGAGACACATCATCTTGCGAATCTCCACTCAAGCCAGCCAATTAAGGCAAGAATGAGGTAGGAGGGCTTGTTCTTCATCAGTTTTCACTCCAGCTTGTCACGAGGACTAACCGGAGGTGAAGAACAAGACACCTCCCGGGAGTCAGGTCCGTGGGGTCGCCACTGCCCAACAGCTCGCCACAAGCTGCCTTGCGGATTTATTTGCCGGGGTCGCGGTGCCTCATTGCGGCTAACCCGCAACCCCGGCATTATTATTACAACTAGCTTTTAGTTTTCATACATGACATTTATAGCTCTTGTTTCATCACATACATACATATACATTTCTTATAAATTTATATGTAGTACCTAAACAGTTATACAAATTTCGTCAAATATCTATAATTATCTACAATAACAAATATAGAATGTGATTTAATAAGGATAAGTTTAATTTTATCATAATTCTGTTTTAGACTGAAAATGGTATTAATAGATATTTTATTTTATTTGCATAAATCTAATTCTGTCTCGTTATCATATAATATTTTATTACGTATTAACATTAGCGTAAAAGTATAATTATAGAAATGAATGTAAAAATATCTGTAATAAAATTCCATTCAAATATCGGTACATTAGATAAATATACTGATTAAATATAATTATGTTGATCAATTTATATATTAAAGAATGCGTTACTATTATTATGAAAGAAGAACGACCCGCTATTAGTCGTTTGATTATTCCATTGATGCGACTACTGTTTATATTTCGTGTATATGCCTATTATATTTTTTGGTTATGGTTTGATATATGGATATATATGACGGTGATGGAACACATCGATGAGGAAACCTGGATTTCGGCTAGTCCGCCTTGAGCAAGCATGGCGATTAATGCTCATACCTTCTCCGTTTGAGAAGAGGCCTTTCTTCAGCAGTGGGCACCTAATAGGCTGATGATGGGATATGTCTAAGGCCAGGGCCTGAAATCAAAATAAATGAAAAACACACATTAATTGACACTTTATCCTTTTTGCGAAATTTTAGTTTCCTTCGTCCGTATCAGGTAGTGCTGCAAAATTTTATAAACCAGCTATAGTCGTTGTAATCATGTACATTATTAATATTATTATTATAATCATATTAAATATGAGACAGAACAGGTTAACGGCAAGACGTAGGCCTCCCTCAATGGTTTCGATACAGATGAGTCACCTATACGTAATTTCGTTCGGTTCGTTTTGTCATCGAAGTGGAAAGAAGCGAGTCAATATTATGTAATAACCCATTTTTTTATTTTTGCAGTAACTCTTCCTTCAATAAAAAATCAGAAAGTGATCGTGCAGAAAAGGAATTCTCCTCAAAATGCTGATGACAAGAATCCAGATCTTATCCCGTTAAGCAAAGGTGAGTCTATTGCAAACTAGAAATGATACGCTATCTATCAGAATCAATAAAAAATATAGGTTAACCTCACACACCCGATGAAACACCACAAGATTTATTTCATGATAGCTTTTTGTTCGTGGTATCATTTTGGTCAAGTTGACCTATTCGTGGCAAAGCGTGGTTCTCACACAATTTTTCAAAAACTAATTCATTACTTATGTTTGTTTAATCCTTCAAGTGATTCTGACGTATGCCTATGATCTTTATATTCGAATTTCACTTTCAAGTATGATTTACATAGGTGTGACAGACAGACAGACAGACAGACATGAGATATTCAAAGGGTTCTTTGTTATGATCCATGACAACCTTAAGATCATTGTAGTACATGCATCAGTATTAAGTTGAAGGCATTTACGTACGACTTATTATATAAATAATGCGTTGCCCATGGACACCTGAATATTTAGGAGTTTTGAAAGTTCGTTACGAGTCCACGAGTCGAGTTTAGGGGTTAGGTTAGCACTTTGAGGATTGGAGATTTGAGAATGAGGGATTTAAGAAGGAAGGAAGGAACTGTTGTTTCTAGTGAGTTTTGTATGTTATAATTATTAAGTGCCAAGTGTTAATTTGTTACTGTCATTAAATATTATGTACGTACATGTATAGTCAAAATCAAAGTCATACATGCCCTTTTGAAAGTCAAACAAAAATTTTAGAGATATAAAGTGGTCAGTCCTCTTACTGAAGCTATTACATTATATTGTTGTATTAGTGTTCTAAAAAGTTTTTTAAATTGCCGTACAGAGAGAAAGAGAGAGATAGATAGATAGAGAGAGATAGATAGAGAGAGAGAGAGAGAGAGAGAGAGAGAGAGAGAGAGAGAGAGAGAGAGAGAGAGAGAGAGAGAGAGAGAGAGAGAGTTTTAGAGTACAGAAACAGTTGCTATTGTTATGTACACTAATATTTATGTTTTATTAAATGAAGCTGTATCTTTCGTCTTTGTACTGAATTATTCTTTACTTTCAAACCAAATAACATTGTTGATTATTGTCTCCTTTTGCAGATGATGAACACTTTAGATAATAAATATCCATCTTATTTTATTATCCCTCTTATTGATTAAGGAACATAATCATCAGTGGCGAAATGATGCGTGACTTTTTTTTATAAATTTTTTTGTTCAATTGATTAGACCAGTATTATCATCTAGCTCAGAATATAATTTCATAGAATAAAACATTAAAAGTGTTTATTAAGTTAAAAGTTCGGAAAGATTTTAAATACTCAAATTGAATAGTAGTTAATTAATTAAATTAACGTAAAACACTTTGTTCAGCATTAGTCGACGACCAACATCGATATCGAGAACGATTTAAAATAGCGCTTAAATTAAAATAATGATCGGACACTTTCAAGTGGTAGAAAAGTGTTGCTAGTTTCTTTTCTGTAAATTGCTAGAGGAAATGAAACGATTTTTAGCAAAAGGTGTAATTTTAGTTTCAGTCTTAGGTAAATTATGAATAAGCATTTTTGTTGAAAATAAAATATTATATTATTACCAGTGGAATTTAGCTATTTGCTTTACACGCGTATAGTTGTTCCTGTTATATTTTTCTCGGCCTCGGCCCAGAGCAGAAGATGGGACGGGGTTTAGTCAGTAAGAGTCAGTGACACACTCTCTCTCTCTCTCTTTGCTCTGGGCGGGAGAAGTCAATTGACAATGTACCCCTGACAAAAAAGGCTAAACTATTGTAATAACATATTATGAAAACAATCTCATAAAGGTTTAAACAAACAAAAAGCTTGCTCGAAGGAAATTTGTTAAAAATGGTGACTCATGTGGATTCAAAGAGAAAAGCTCTACTCATTTCAATTCACAACGGGAGGATTATTCATGATTAGCGTGTGCGGTGCGTCGAAGCGACGTCATATAGCCGACTTCACGTGTTAAAGTCGATAGTTTTAATTAATTCAGTATGTCATACGATAATTATTAAAAAATAAATGAAAATAAAATATATATTTAATATATAATAATAATGAAATGAATAGAAAAATATAATACACAAATCAATTTTGAAGCACCAGTATTGACTTCTGCCCGCTAAATGCTAAGGCAAAGATATTGCTATTCGAAATATTTTAAATATATCAGTTTGAAAAGAGCCTTAGATGAAACCATTCAACGTTTAACGTATCCGTATATTCTGATTCTGGGTCAACGACCAACGCAACCACGCCGTATTATTTTATTCCATACTCTAACTTAGCCAAACGGAGCTGCAAAAGGGTAATGAGTTGTTCAGTAATTCCACTGTAATAATGACTGACACAAATCCATTACTCATAGCATCATTGAGTTTTTAGCTGTCGCGAAAAAAAATAACAAGGAAATAAATAAACAAAAATATGGGACGTATAAAAACAGAATGAATGATATTTAATAAGTAAAGGATTCAAGCAAAAATGTTTCTGAATTTAATTTTGTATCTATCCTGGATTTCTTTGTATCTGTTCTTTTTTGGTTGACAATTGAAAAAACACGTTTGATTTTTGTGCGTATGTAATATTTTTTACGAAAATAAAGGTATAAAATGAGGCTTTTCATTCTTTTCTTGTTTGTCAAATGTATTTAATGAACGATATTGAACATAGGTCAAATGCTATTAATTGGTTTCACCTATTCGACATAAACAAAATTACGTACCATTCTAAAAATATAGCTGTCACTAGATTGGGCGGGTAACTGTTATTATATATTTTATCTAATATAGGGATCACATATAAATCAGAGCAACATAACTGTTAACAATTTTAAACGTGAAAGTATGTAAGTAAGGATTCTTTTATTCCTGTACGTGTAATTAACAGAACGAATTTGAATAGTATTTATCACAATAAGTTACAATCTGGAATAACTCGTATGTTCCCTCATTTTTACCGTGGCATTGCAAGCAAAAATGGTGGCATGAAACTAGTCTTAATTAAATAATGTTGTGTAAATCACTACTCTTATAAAAACTAATTTACAAAAAGGTTAGTAGTTTCTAAGTGAATAGCTCTATAACAAACAAAGACTTATTAATTAACACATAGCTACACAACCTGATGAATAACGTGCTAAAGTGTACAGGCAAAGTCTAGACAATAAATTTTATACAAATTAATTACACTCTCAACGGAAAGAATAAATTTACCCGACTGCACATGAGTGCATACTCGTAGATTTACAGCGGACCAGTTGCAATGTATGATCCAGATTATGTTATTTTGGGCGAATTTTTAATTGTTATCTTTTCTTGGTGTTACTTTGCTCTACACTACATAGTATAAAAAAACAAAGCCGTTTTCTTTGTCTCTATATCCCTATGTATGCTTATCTCTTTGAAACTACGCAACGGCCTTTGATGTAACTTTTTTTTAAATAGATCGAGAGTAGAGTAATTTTTATTTGTGTGTAATGGCATTTATTACATACTCAAGATATTTAGTATCAGTATTGTTACCGCGCGAAGCCGGTATGGGTCGCTAGTGACCAATAAATGTATTTGTGACAACAGAAATATTTGCTAGTCATTTTTTAAGTAGGTAATATGAATATTTTATCGTCTAAAAAACTAGCATACGAAAGTTAAGATTTCCTAGAACCTTTTGAACCCTTAAAAACTCTTGTAATATCTAAGAAGTAGTAAGAGTTAAGATTAATATAATGATTCTTAAATAAATGATTTTGAAACTTTGTTCGATCGCTATCACATAGACAAGAAACTTAGCGTGTATAAAGCCAAAACTTAAACGCGACCAGCAGTTTAGTTACCATCAGTAACACTAACTTTACTTATTAGCCGAACAAACTATCCGCTCCCACGGTTTTTATTTCCTAACTAAGAGTATTAGCAACTTCCAGCTCATGTTTTGTACATTTTATTTAAAATAACGTTACTTCGACACTGAGTTCCCAAATAAATTAGTTAGCGAGTTCCGTACCGATTTATAGAGTTCCCAAGTTTTATATGGTTTTACTGCATCGCTTTTAGTCGAGTTTGAGCTTCGATTTTATTGAGTCCATACGGTCTTTGTGTCTAAGATATATGTCCTGGAATTGCTGGTTGTTCTTTTTTTCTAGTGTCTTGGTGAAGTTACGTCTTTTCTTTAGTACCTATTTTATTTTTGGCTAGTTTGAAGTATTTTTAGGACATGCTTAAGAACAAAAAAAATTATTGTGATTGTTTTTATTTGAATTGTCTCCCTATTCATGTGTCGAGGAGTCTTAGACTCTTACTGTCTAAAAACCACCCAATTCCTTCTCCTGCTCTCCTGCTCGCGGCAGCCAGCCGCGGCACGTTATATTGCATGAATACATTTTAAACCTGTGATACGTGCACACATGCGAAAGCCAGACCATTAAAAAAAGCCGAATATGCCTAAAAAATATTGCATACAACTCTGACACATCCAAAACTGCTCTCACTTGTCCATAAAATCTTCCACACTGCAGGTATTTAGTAAACGAAATTCATGTATTCTAGGAAGGAAATCCGCAGTCTCCATTTACAAGCAAGCGCACAATATTCCAACAAACATGTCCACTGTGTAAATTCGTTGTTACGAGAAAATTTAATGACAGTATCTCGTTGCCAATGTGTCTTATAAAATGCTCGGTGCAAGCGTGACCGTTGACAAATTCGTACCGACGCTTCTACGTATCTTGGTTTCTGTACTCTTGTACGTGATATTCATAGTTTTGGCGTTTCATCTTTGTTATTTAAACTGTCGGTTCTGTTATTCAAGTTATTATGAGTGTGTATTAGATGTTGTATGAATGAATGTGCGGTTTTATTTAATTTACTATTTTAAGTAGATTTGAATGTGATGCTGTTAAACTTAAGGATTTTCCTCTGTGTTTTGATACAGATGAAAACAACATGAATTTGTATGTTCACGAATTGAACCTTTAATACGTTGCTTGGCCGCTGTAATAACCATGCTCTCAGTGATGGCTCAAAAGTTTTTTG